TGAACAAGAGGAGATAACACGAAAAATGAAAAACATTGAGCAAAGCCTCAAGAATATACAAGACCTCAGTGGCCAAAAGAGCGTGTCATACACTGATCTATGCATATTCCCTCACGTGCATTTACCTGTGGGCCTTAAGACGCCAAAGTTTAAAAGATATGATGGGCATGGAGACCCAATTGCTTACTTAAAGTGATATTATAACCAGCTGAGGGGCGCTGGTGGAAAGGAGGAGTTATGAATGGCCTACTTTGGAGAGAGCCTCACCGGAATTGCTTCTGAATGGTATATAGACCAAGACATCTCCTATTGGCACATATGGGATGACCTGGCCCGCGATTTTGTAAGGCAATTCCAATACAACGTGGACATAGCTCTAGACAGAAATTCTTTGTCCAACCTCAAAAAGAAAACCTAGGAAAGCTTCCGAAAATACGCTCTCAAATGGCGTGAACAAACGACCAGGGTAAAACCCTCGATGGATAAGATCGAGATGGTCAGTGTCTTCTTACAGGCCCAAGAGGGCAATTATTTCCAAAACATGATGGCTGTCAAGGGCAAACCGTTCGCGGAGTCCATCAAAATTGGAGAAATGGTAGAAAACGGCCTAAAACCAGGTTGTATCTTAAGTCAATCTGCTCTAAGAGCCACTTCCCAAGCCATTCAGAGCGGCTCGAGAGGTTTAGCAAGCCGGAAGAAAAAGGAAGAGGAAGCCATGATGGCTTCAAGCTTAAGAAACTCTCGGTGACCCCGGGATTATTCTGGTCCACCTTCCAGGGCCCCGCAACATTATTACCCCCCACCAGGATGTAGCCTATGCCATGGCCCCTCATCCTTATACAGTAATGAACGCTCAACTGTACACCCGACCACAACAACATTATAATCAGAACAGAGCTCCACCTCTAAGAAACATGCCTCCTCACCAAGCTCTGTATAATCCTCGTCCACCACAGAATAATTACCAATATAACACCCGTCCCCGTGAACCACCCAGAAAAGCAGACTTCACACCCATTGGTAAGTCGTACTCCAACCTCTTCCCGAAATTAGTCCAAATGGGTCTGTTGCAGTCTGTACCGCCGAACAGACAAAACCCAAAATCTCCATCCTACAAGCCAGGTACCAGGTACGCTTATCACTCTGGGGCAGAAGGGCATGACACTGAAGATTGTTGCACAATTAAGAGAGCAGTCGAGAGCCTGATCGAATAGAAAAGGGTAGTGCTAAGGGATGAGGAAGTCCCCAAGGTAACCAACAACCCGTTACCAACTCACAACAACGGTCCGGTCATCGGGATGATCTGTGAAGACAAAGAATTTGACCCCGCATTAAATGCGATTATTGCCATTGCTAATTCAAAGAAGAAACCTAAAGCAATGGCAAAATAGGTCAGGGATGAGAAAAAGATGAATTTGGCTCCTCGAAATGAAGAAAAGAACGGGGGAAAAAAGACATGGGCAGCACCTGCCAAAGAGGCCATTCTCTACGTCCCAAGAGCCCCCAGAAAGGGACAGCTCGTGTTAAGCCCTCCCAAGAGATTACAGCGGAGGAAAACCATGCTAAATCTACCAAAAATGTATATACCAAAGTAGACTTACGTGGCACGAAGGCCAGTCATCCTACCTAGACTGGATGAGCCTTTAATCATTAGCCGCATGTCACAAAATCCCATAAAAAACACTACCGCCGTCCCTTGGAACTACGATCAGACAATTGTCACATATAAAGGGAAGGAAGTTAAGGGGGAAGTGAATGAAACAAACTAATCTAGGATGTATCATAACCCAGAAGTATTGATCAAAACCAAGCAGAAGCGTTTCCCCCTCAAAAAGCCTGTAACTACTGAAGAAGCTGAGGAATTCTTCCAGAAGATGAAAACCTCAAAATATGTTGTAATTGATGAAGAGAGAAAGGCCCCCCTCCCAGGTTTCACTCTTGTCTATACTGATGATCTCAAACGAACACCAAAAGGTGCTTCTAAAGACGCTGAATGAGGCGTATGTTCCAATTGAGACCATGGTTGAACAGTTAGAAAGAATGACAGGGCGATTTTTTGAGGTCAACCGAATCTCCTTCAGCCTAAACGACTTGCCTCCCGAAGGATCCGCCCACATTAAGGCCCTTCACTTGACTGTCAAGTGTGAGGGATATTATATAAAAAGGATCATGGTGGATGGCGGGTCCTGAGTCAATATCTGCCCTCTATCAACATTGCAGAGGATGGAAATTGGGACTGAAAGGATAAAACCAAACAATGTTTGCATGTATGCTTTCGATGGTGTCAAGAGGGACACGATATGGGATATTGGCTTAATCCTAATCATTGGCCCCGTAGACTTTGAAGTAACATTCCAAGTTCTGGACATGGACACTTATTATAACATTCTGTTAGGAAGACCATGGATCCATGCAGCAGGAACCGTGCCCTCTACTCTCCATCAAATGTTCAAGTTCGAACATGAGAACCAAGAAATAGTGGTCCATGGAGAAGATGAATAGTCAATCTATAGAGACCCGCCAATCCCATACCTTGAGGCAAGATACGAAAGTGAGCACATCATCTACCAAGCCTTTGAAATTGTGCTCGCCGACCAGTACAATGAAGGAACCCCATGCCCTTAACCTTATTTATCAAGCGCATCAATCATGGTCGACAGCTAAATGATCAAGCATGGGTACAAACCTAGAAAAGAGCTTGGGGTATCCTTACAAGGCATCACAGAACCTGTCACCTTGGCTGCCAACAAGAAATTATTTGGCATAGGTTTCCAAACCACCGATGCCGACGTAATATGGGCCGATAAACATAAGAAAAATGGGTAGGTCTTGCCTCAGCCAATCCCGTACCTCGCCAAATCATTTGTTAAGCAAAGATATATAGAAGAAGAAGAGGCTTTCACGACCGATGAAATTGAGGATATTTGTGAAGCAATGAGGAAAATGCTCTATGAAATCCACATGGTCCAACCGGGCGAAGGCTCAAGCACTGTTGGGGTGCAATACATGAGGCCCAATGCTAAATTGCAAAACTGGCAGGCTACTCCATTCCTAGTCAGGCGCGAATCCCGATAGTTCGGTCTTGCCATCTTTTCTGCATTCCGAGTTATTTCAGGGTGTAACTCGAATATTTTTAGTTTTATTGTCTTTTTAAATTCCAATGTAAACTCTCCTATCTTCAAAATTCAATGAAATCAATATTTCATCATCTATGAATTTTTTTTTTATTCTTTCTGATTTTGCTATTTTTCTTATCTTTCTCTTTTTAGTTCTAATAATGCGGATTTAAATAACATGACATGCTTGTGAACTTCATACCCAGATCCTAAAACGATGTCTAACCCTGAAATAATGAATCAAGAACCAAAATATGATGAAGACGGGGCTTTTAGGCAAATAAATCAAGAATTGGAACAATTTGAGAATAATCCCAAGCCAAACCTAAATGAAACAAGCCAATTAACTTGGGCAATTCAGAAGAGGTCAGGGAGATCATGATAAGCATTCACGCCAGGAAAGAACTAAAGACGCATTGATCCAACATGTGTTTGAATTTAAAGACGTGTTTGCATGGTCCTACGACGATATGCCAGGACTAAGTGTCGACCTCGTAGTACACAAATTGCCAACTTATCCCGATTGTCCGCCTATCCAACAAAAGCAAGGAAAATTCAAAACGGATATCAGCAACAAGATTAAAGAAGAGGTTGCCAAACAATTAAAAGCCAGTGTGATCCGAGTAGTCCGATACAGCACATGATTAGCCAATGTAGTCCCAGTACCAAAGAAGGACGGGAAGATCCGAGTATATGTGGACTATAGAGATTTGAACAAAGCAAGCCCTAAGGACAACTTCCCATTACCCAACATCCACATCCTTGTCGACAATTGTGCCAAACATGAGATACAATCTTTCGTGGATTGTTATGCTGGGTATCACCAAGTCTTCATGGATGAAGAAGATGCAGAAAAGATAGATTTCACCACACCATAGGGCACTTACTGCTACAGGGTCATGCCATTCAGCCTGAAAACTTCTGGGGCAACCTACATGAGGGCTATGACTGCCATTTTCCACGACATGATGCACCAGGAAATAGGTGTATGTGGATAATGTGATCGTTAAGTCCATAATGCAGGAAAACCAAATGAAGGATTTTAGAAAGTTCTTTGAGCGCCTGCGCAGGTATGAATTGAAATTGAATTCGGCTAAATGTGCATTCGGAGTTCCATCTGGGAAGCTTTTAGGGTTTTTAGTCAGTCGGAGGGGTATTGAGTTGGATCCAACAAAGATAAAATCTATCCGAGATCTACCACCTCCGAAAACCAAGAAAGAGGTCATGAGTTTGCTGGGATGGTTAAATTACATCAGTAGGTTCATCGCCTAGCTTACTACCATTTGTGAGCCCATATTTAAGCTACTAAAGAAATACGCAGCAATTAAATGGACGGATGAGTGTCAAGAAGCCTTGGACAAAATCAAAGAATATATGTCAAATCCACCGGTGTTGGTCCTGCCTGAGCCCGGAAGACCGTTGTTCTTATACTTAGCGGTTCTGGAGAATTCTTTTGGTTGTGTCCTCGGACAACATGATACAACCGGGAAGAAAGAGTAGGCCGTATACTATTTGAGCAAGAAATGTACCGGTTATGAAGCCAAGTACACTTTGCTGGAAAGAATTTGTTGTGCCTTGACTTGGGTCACTCAAAAGCTTAGACATTATTTGTTGGCCTATACCACATACCTCATAACCAGAATGGACCCTCTAAAGTACATATTCCAAAAACCGATGCCAACAGGAAGGCTAGCCAAATGGCAAATCCTGCTCACTGAGTTTGACTTTGTCTATGTCACCCGCACGGCCATAAAATCCCAAGCCTTAGCCGATCATTTAGATGAGAACCCGGTTGATGATGAATATCAACCCCTAAGCACTTATTTCCCAGACGAGGAAGTGAATTCAGTTGAAGTAATCCCAGAAGACACTAAGACTTGGAAAATGTTCTTTGATGGAGCTGTAAATGCAAAGGGTGTTGGGATTGGGGCAATTTTTATTTCGCCCATGGGTCAGCACTATCCGGCTACAGCCCGTCTTCGATTCTTCTGTATGAATAATACCGCTGAATATGAAGCTTGCATCATGGGCATGAACATGTCAATTGATACGGATGTAGAAGAATTATTAATCATCGGAGATTCTGATTTGATCATTCGGCAAGCACAAGGTGAATGGGAAACTCGAGATATCAAGCTTATCTCATATAGACAACATGTGGAAGATCTTAGCAAACGGTTCAAATCCGTTGAATTTGGGTATATTCCTCGATTCCACAATGAGTTAGCTGATGCACTAGCTACTTTAGCTGCACTGCTGCCGTATCTAGGCAACATCTATATTGACCTGTTGGAGATTCAAATCCGGGAAAGACATGGTTATTGCAACACGGTTAAAGTAAAACCAGATTCCCAACCATGGTATCATGATATTAAAAGGTTCTTGAAAACAAAGGAATACCTTGATCAGGCCAATGGAGACCAAAAGAGAACCATTAGAAGGCTCGCCAGCAGTTTCTTCTTAAGCGGAGAAGTATTGTATAAAAGAACCCCATATTTGAATCTTTCGAGGTGTGTGGATGCCAAAGAAGCTAAAAAGATCATGAACGAAGTGCATTCGGGAGTATGCGAGACCCACATGAATGGATATGTCCTTGCAAAGAAAATCCTGTGGGCAATTGATTAATGGATGACCATGGAAAAGGATTGCTTCAGTTTTGTCCGGAAGTGCCATCAATGTCAGATACACGGTGACCTGATTCATGCACCGCCTTTAGAGTTGCATCCTATGTCAGCACCTTGGATGTTTGTTGCTTGAGGTATGGATGTCATTGGGCCGATCGAGCGGAAAGCCTCAAATGGGCACAGGTTCATCTTGGTTGCCATTGATTATTTCACAAAAATGGGTCGAAGCGGTCACTTTTAAAGCTGTCACCAAGAAAGCAGTGGTGGACTTCGTACATTCCATCATTATTTGTCGTTTTGGTATTCCAAAAACTATCATTACTGTCACGACCCGAAATTTCCCACTGACGGGACCATGATGGCGCCTAACATTTCACTTGCTAGGCAAGCCAACGTTAGAAAATCGTTAAACCAATTCCTTATTTCCATTCAGTAAATAACAATAATTAACTAAGATAAAATATAATAAGTGCGGAATATAGTAAAAACTGTATTAATTACTACTACCCGGATCTGGAGTCACAATTCACGAGCATTCTAGAATTTTCTACAAGTAATAGTCTGAATGAAATACAACTGTCTGAATGAAAGAAAACAGTAGGACATAAAAGATAAATGGGGACTTAAAGGTCTGTGAATGCCGACAGATCTACCTTGAGTATCCGGACAGCGGACCAGTAGAAAATCTCGATCAACCTAAGCCGGTATCAAAATCTGCACAGAAAGTGCAGAGTGCAGCATCAGTACAACCGACCCCATATACTGGTAAGTGTCGAGCCTAACCTTGACGAAGTAGTGACGAGGCTAAGGCAAGGCACCTCCAATCAACATGTACAATTTAACAGTGTATACACAAATAACAGGAATGAAGAACTAAACAGGAAATGTCGGGAGTGGAACATACTGAGGGGAGTACAAGATAAAGAACTACAACAGAATGACCACCGGAGCAGTCAATATACCATGAATCAACAGGAATAGTGAATACAGTAAGAAAAAATGCACGGCATCATCCTTCGTGCTTTTACTCTCAATCTCACCATAAAATTAATAGAAACGGCACGGCATCACCCTTCGTGCATTAACTCTCATATCATGGAACGGCATCATCCTTCGTGCATTAACACTCACATTATGGTACGGCATCACCCTTCGTGCATTAACACTCACAATATGGCACGGCATCACCCTTCGTGCATTAACACTCACAATACGGTACGGCATCACCCTTCGTGCATTAACACTCACCCTTACCATAATGCAATGCATAATTAAAAACAGGGAGATAGAAATACAAGTACAAACCTTACTTCAACATTTGGTTCCATAATATCAATCTCAACTTTGAAATAAAAACTAAATTATCACCAGAAATTCCGTAAACATGATAAGAACAATAAATTGAACAACACTAGTATAACACGTAGCAATTTGGCATAGGAAAGAGACAATATAAGAAAAACAGAGAAACATGAAAAAATAGGTAAATTGGCGGTGTATAAGTACTCGTCACCACACATATATACCGCTCACGTGAATTTCACTTAGCAAGTAATCTAAGGTTCCTAATTCCCTCAAGTCAGGGTTAGACACAACACTTACCTCGCTCTGAAGGCCACTTAATTCTCAATCATAACTTTTCTTTGGAATTTACCTCCAAACCACTCGTATCTATTCAAAAATGAGTCAATAATATCAAATATTACTAAAGGAATCAATTATTTTGCATAAATTAAATTTCACAAATTTTCCTCCAAAAAGTTAAAACAGTCGAACACGGGCCCACTTGGTCAAAACCTGAGGTTCGGACCAAAATTCTTTTACCCATTCACCCCGAGCCCGAATATGTAATTAGTTTTGGAATCCGACCTCAAATTGAGGTCTAAATCCGTAAATTCCTGAAATCCCTAGTTTCTACTCTTACCCCTAATTCTACCATGAAAACTTTAGATTTTAGATTAAAACTTCAAGAAATATAATGGGTAATTGAAATAAAATAGTTTAGAATCACTTACCAACAATTTGGGGAAGAAATGACTCTTGAAAAATCGCCTCTCACTGTTTAGTTTTTGACAAAAATGAGTTTTTGGCTAAAATCCCATTTTTTGGGTTCTGTTAAGTGTTGGGCGACAATGTTCATTGCGTTCGCGAGAGCACTGTCGCGTTCACGAAGTGTATGGGCTGCCAATCCTTCACGTTCGCGAGACAGTGATCACGTTCGCGTAGGCTACCGTTCCCTGGTCTTCGCGTTCGCGATGAAGAAAAAGATGCCTGCCCCTCCCCGGTGACTAACGTTACTCGTTCGCGATGGGCTTGTCGTATTCGTGAAGGGTAACGCCCCCATCACTTTGCGTTCGCGACCAAGCCTTCACGTTCGCAAAAAGGAAATCCTCAGCTGCCCAGTTTACTCTTCGCGTTCGCGAGAGTACCTTCACGAACGCGAAGAAGGACATGCCAGAACAAAGTGCTGAAAAACCAGATTTCCAAAGTCCAAAACATCCCGTGGCCTATCCGAAACTCACCCGAGCCCTCGGGGCTCCAAACCAAACATGCACACAAGTCTAAAAATATCATACAAACTTGCTCGCGCGATCAAATTGCCAAAATAACACCTAGAACTCCGAATTTAGCACCAAATCGAATGAAGTTCTCAAGAACACTTTAAAATTTCTATTATATCAGCTGGACATCTGAATCACGTCAAACCAACTCCGTTTCTCACCAAATTTTACAGACAAGTCTTAAATATCATAATGAACCTGTACCGGGCTCCAAAACTAGAATACGGACCCGGCACTAACAATGTCAAACGTCAATCAATTCTTAAAAATAATTAATTTTTAGACTTTTGATTTTCATCAAAAATTCATAACTCAAGCTAGGGACCTCCGAATTCGATTCCGGACATACGCCCATGTCCCATAATTCGATACGGACCCACAGGGACCATCAAAATAAGGATCCGAGCCCGTTTACCAAAAATATTGATCGAAGTCAACTAAAATTAACTTTTAAGGCAAAAATTCTTATTTTCATTAGTTTTCAACATAAAAGCTTTCTGGAAATCTGCCCGGACTGCGCACACAAATCGAGGAGGGTAAAAATGAGATTTTTAAGGCTTAAGAGTGCAAATTCGAATTCTAAAACATAAGATGACCTTTTGGGTCATCACAATTACCGATAATGACGCAAATCTGAACAGTCATATGATGAGGGAGGTATGAGAACAGTTTAAAATTACGCATCATAATACTACCCTTTACTGACCCAAAGACAATGGTGCCGTTGAAGCGGCAAATAAAAACATCAAGCAAATCTTCAGGAAAATGATCCAAAGTTCTAGGAAAATGCAGCAAATCCTCTTGGTGATACCCGGCAAATAAAAACATCAAGCAAATCCTCAGGAAAATGCGGCCTAGAAACTTCGAAGTGGGACAACTCGTTCTAAGACATATTCTCCTGCATCTCGAAGAAGTGAAAGGAAAGTTCGCCCCGAATTGGAAAGGTCCATACATTATAAGAAAACTGCTGCCAAAAGGGGCATTGTACTTAGGAGACATCGAAGGAAATGACCTCGAGTCAATGTAGACGTAGTCAAGAGGTATTATGTTTAACCCTTTTTGTGGTCTTAACACTCTCTGGTTGGGATGATGAAGGCTTTCATTCTTGCTATCCAAACACTATCAAATTTTTGTCAACCCTTTGAGCCGGTTACTCTTCTTTGATCACCCTCATTGGAACTCGAAAGTTCAACTAACAGAATAAAAAAAAAATCAACCAATCAAAAAAAACGAAACTGTCACGACCCAAACTAACCCCTGTCGTGATAGCGCCTATCGTGGAACTAGGCAAGCCGACTCATTTCCAAAACAAACCGATATTTTCATTTCAAAGATAATTTCAATGTTATTTAACATAAAAACCTTCGTAAAGGAGTTCCAATCAAAATAAAAGTGCGGAAAGAAAAGTCCGACATCGGGGTGTCACTAGTCATGAGCATCTACTACAAACTATCTAACAATATCAAGGCTAACTCAACCTGGAAAATAACTAAATACAACTAGAGGAAGATAAGAGGGAGAAGAGCAGGGGCTGCGATCGCCAAACATCTACCTTGTTATCTCCAAGAAAATCTGCAATCAGAACACTCAATAATCGCTACCGTGCTCAACTACACCTAAATCTACACACAAGGTGCAGCGAGTAACGTGAGTACGCCAACTCAGTAAGCAACAACAATAAATAAAGACTTAGCAGTAGTGACGAGCAATAAAGCATATAACATTCATATCATGAAATCTCAGTAAAGTACAACATGCTTTAAAAATCAGTGTTTGTACCAAATCATCTCGTTTAAACCCGGTTCCAGTAAAAATTATTTAAAGATATTTTTCCAACTGTTTTTCACACAAAGGCTCAATGCAAAGGTGAGCAAAATCGATGAAATCATAAACAGCCCCTCGGGCAAAACATCACTCATATACAGCCCCTCGGGCAAAACCTCACAGTCACTCGTGCAACTCGGGCATACCTTACAATCACTCTTGCCACTCGGGCATACCTCACAATCACTCATACCTCCCAGTCACTCAGCACTCGGCACACGGCACTCGCACTCAGAAGGTACCTGCACTGACTGGGGGTGTGTACAGACTCCGGAGGGGATCCTTCAGCCCAAGCACTATAATCTTCACGGACAACTCACGTACTATAATAATAAAGTATGTTGTAGGCGAGCAGCCCCGATCCACACTCATCCTCACAATCAGGCCCTCGGCCGCACTCAGTTATAAACCTCTCAAGCCACTCGGGCATTTCAGTCAAATGGGGCATTCGGCCCAAAACATTTATATGCATCAAAAGAGAGTCATAAAACTGAGTTATGTGGTAAACAAGTATAAACACGACTGAGTATAGGTTTTTAATCGAAAACAATAAGAGGATAGTAAGAAAAAAGCCCTTAAGGGTCCAAACAGCAATGGCACAAGGCCCAAACATTGC